TTGTTGCTAAGGCTTGCGAGCGCGCATGCTCCGAACTATCCTATATAATTGCTTCACTGCGCAGTTATGAAAACGGGTTGAATATCTCTGGATGAACATGGTTTGACCGTGTCAATAAAAAGAGTTGGCCCCATTTTGATCTATGAGCGCGACCACGGAGTACCTAAACGCTCACTAAAACTTAACAAAAAATCCGGGCAGACCTTAAGTGCTATCGTTTTAGAAAAATATCGCTCAGCCATTGCAAAATGGATCGCGGAGATCATTTATTCCGTGCCATTTAATGACGCCTGGCTTGTTCAGCGTATTGATTTTAAAATGCAAGCAGTTAAGTACTCTTCGGTTACTTCCGACTTCTGTTTAAGTTTGAAAAGATGAAAACTAATCGTAAAAAATATGTCTACATAAGACTCTGTGCCTTTTTTTTGGGGGGGGGGGGGTTTCACATTCAGGGAACCCTTTGTCAACCCTGTGCCCCTACTTTACCACGAATCTGGCTTCGCCATTGACACCAGTAGTTAAAAAGGGAGCAAACCATAACCCTGCTGTCCGGTAATTAACAGCGAGGGAATGTCGCTGCAGTCTCATTGCTCTAATTACATGGCGTCGTGTCTGCATATGCGGCTTCGCATATTTTGTGTACGATATGCATCAATTGTACGCATTTTACTGCCGACAGATGTATCCGGAGGTAACAATGGTCCCACATTTCATTTCCTTCGGCTCATGAAGCAAGCTAAGAGTTCGTCCTCAGCGAGGTCCTGGACCCCGTCCCGCAGCCGAGCCCTCCCCGCCCCGCCGCTGTCGTGCTCCGTCCACTCGCCGCGTCGATCGGGCCATCGCCGCGAAGCGCCCGTGGCCCGCCGCCCTCAAAAGCCCTGCGCCGGCTAATTCGACCTCGTTTGAGCCCGCTTAACACGCCGTTGGTCGGAACGACAGCCATAACCGTGGTCATGGCGGCGTCAATGGGACGGTGCGAGGTGCGTGACGCCAAATAAAGGTGGACGAGTGCGTACGAGTCACCGAGCTCTTGCATCTGACACGTAAAGTCGTGTTTCGGTCGCTAGTCGTTGCGAATGTTGGGCGGTCAAAGTGGGAAAGACTTCTTAGGAAATCGTTAGTTACTACACCAATACGCAAAACTGGTGGGTTTAATGCCCATCGCACCGAAAAGTCAAAAGTGTGCGACATAGACGCGATGGATGAGCATTATTCTGTAGAAACCAGTCTGCAAGCCTTGCATCGCACTGGCACCACACTTTATATCTGGTCGCTTCGCGTACATTGACCGTGCTCATTTGGGCAAACGGTTAGACGATTCTCACTGTAAACCGACTTGGCGTCCATGATGCCGGTCTCTATTCAGCAATGTCTGGCTCCACTCTGTGATGTTCCTGCATCGCGTCGCCGGCTCGCCGCGCCCTGAGCAGCCTCGGAGGTCCCCGGCCCGCCGCACCCTGAGCGGCCTCGGGGGTCCCCGGCTCGCCGCGCCCTGAGCGGCCTGACCCCCAGCGTCCCCGGCTCGCCGCACCCTGAGCAACCTCGGAGGTCCCCGGCCCGCCGCGCCCTGAGCGGCCTCGGGGGTCCCCGGCTCGCCGCGCCCTGAGCGGCCTGACCCCCAGCGTCCCCGGCCCGCCGCGCCCTGAGCAACCTCGGGGGTCCCCGGCCCGCCGCACCCTAAGCGGCCTGACCCCAGCGTCCCCGGCCCGCCGCACCCTAAGCGGCCTGACCCCAGCGTCCCCGGCTCGCCGCGCCCTGAGCAGCCTCGGAGGTCCCCGGCTCGCCGCGCCCTGAGCGGCCTGACCCCCAGCGTCCCCGGCTCGCCGCGCCCTGGGCGGCTCGACCCCCGCGCCCCCTCCAGCCATGCACTGTCCACGACGTGTGATGGTCGATGTCGCGCACGGCGGCCGGGACCCCGCCGCCCACCTAATGGCACGATCAGCGGTACCGGCGCAGACAGCACTGCTCGCCGCGGACGGACGGCTGGCGCGGGGCCGATTGCCGCACCGCCGATCGAACGGGAGGCGGGAGGGGGGAGGGGCGTGCAGTGTCATCGACGGACGCGGCGACAGGAGGGACGCAGCTGCGGCCGCGGGCGTCACCGACTGACGCGTCATCGTCGGGGGAGGGATGTAATCGTCATCAGACGACGCGGTGACGATGCGACACTGAGACGAAATAGGGGTGTTTGTGATACAGTAAAGCCGGCGATCGGGGAAGGTGCCGTTTTTCAATCGTCATGTTCTCTGGGTTCAGCGCCCCGATGTTGTTACAAGTGCCATCTCACGCGGAAACGGAGCGACTCAAGTGTGAAAGGGGCGATAGCGAGTGATGAAGCATGACTCAGAGCCGCGGAACCGGCATCCCACTAACACACTAGCGCCGTGGAATGTGTATTTTGAGCAACCTCCCACAGTAAGGGGTTTACAGCATCCCACCTGGACAAGCTACCATGGCGTGGTAAACTGTGCGCCAGATGTCCGCGGTCCGAGGCTGGCGCACGGAGACAGCGCGGCTGGACGGAGCACTGCTGTATTCAGCGTAAGGCGACGCAGAAACACCGGCGCGCGATGGGAGGGGGCGGGAAGGGCGTAACGTGCGGGGGCACACTTCACGTCTGCCGAGGTGTGCAGTCAGGCGGGCAACGCAAGTGGACCGAGGTGGCCGGGATGACCGACGCGGACGTGAACGGCTGAGACAACTCCCAAACCCTGGTGCACATTCAGGGTGGAGCGCACGAACAGCCCGACAAGTGGGGCGCTTCGGTGAAGCGGCTGCGACATGACTTCGGCGTACCGATGCGGGCTATGATGCCGAGCTCGTTGGTCACATATGCACGGCTTGTGAGTACTCAAACTAACGCACTGGCATGTGGTGATTAGCTGCAATTCCTGAGAGTGATGTAGATAATGAAAAACATAATGCATAAAACCCTACCATAATCCATCAGTGCACGTAATGAATGCAAGCAAATAACCGCACTGTCGTTAAGCCGACAGCTCGTAGATTCACAGAATGATTGAGGCCGAAATCATGGTCAAGCAGACGCAACTTCAGCAGTTACTTATGCTTACGAGCATAAAACAGCTCCCACTGTGCCGGCAGGAAGCCGTAAAAATTAGAACTCCGACTGCACCGAGTAGATACTGTCGGTAGAAACGCAGCAGCAGGTACGCAACAATCACTAAAACTCCCCGCTCCTACACCCGGGACAGCACTGGCTTTAGCCTTATCAGTGTAAGCACAGGGTGAATAATTTACCACGCTTTTTGCTATCCGCCACACACAGAGACATGCGATTGTCTCACAAACAATGTCCAGGGATTTTTTCATTGACAGTGAGATCGTGTCATTAGGTACGTCAGTTTCCCTTCCTCATCCTTGTCTATCCAGTCACAAGCTCTGCGCGGCTCTCGCCGCTCTATAGCCTTTACATGTACACAGTATGGCGTACTGGACTGAAAGTGGACTGGCAGTGAACACGTTTTACCGGCTACTGTGCGGGCGCAGAACCCCTGTCAAATATTCTCCATCCAACAATCAGAAGCCTTGCGGGCAGTGCGGTGGGTCGGCGAATGACTAAGCGCCGTGTCGCCTAAGCAATGCCGGCGCGTCGTGATGGGTCATCCAGCGACGTCATGCAGTCATCCAGTGACGCGGGCACCTCAGCAGTGCTCAGTTCAGTACCGATTCAAGTGATAGTTTCCGATCGCGCATAGGAACTGGACGCGTGCTCCTGTCATCCCCGCACCACAGGTCAGTAGGGCCGCCACACCACGGGTCTCGCGGACCCGACCGTCGACGACGCCGGAGCCGAAGCCGGAGCCGCTACCGAAGCCGGAGCCGGAACCGGAGTCGGAGCCGCAGCCGGAGCCGGAGCCGGAGCTGGAGTCGGAGTCTGGGCCGGGGCCGCTGCCGGAGCCGGAGCCGGAGCCGGAGCCGGAGCCGGAGCCGGAGCCGGGCCGGAGCCGGAGCCGCTGCCGGAGCCGCTGCCGGAGCCGGAGCCGGAGCCGGAGCCGGGTCCAGGGAGCGCGCTCTCGCAGACAGCGGGGACCGACGGCCAGCGGGTAACCTCAGCGCCGGTCGCGTGCCGCCGTCCTCCACGGGCGCCGGGAGCCGGGCGGCAGCCGCCGGCCGGCTCCAGTCAGCGGCCGCCGCCAGCAGGCCGGGCTCGCGCTGCCAGGCCAGCCGCAGGAGGTGCGCGGCGCCCACGCCCGGCGCCGGCCCGCGCAGCGGCGAGTAGAGCCGCAGCGCCGGCGGCGGCAGCGGCGCGTCCGGCCCGACCGTGGCCGCCGCGGGACGCCGCTCCAGCCCCAGACCCGGCGCCAGGCAGGTGCTGGACAGGTACGGCGACTCTGCGCACAGCGCTGGAAACATACGGCGCCGTGGGTCAGAGCGACACCGGACAACTGCGCAGAAGACATTGATGAAGGCGATGGTCGTCGGAGTTGCTGCAATAAAGCTTGAACAGAGCACGCGCGTACAGCGTGCAGGGAGCACCTGATCAGTGTGTATCATTTGCAAGTTGATGTCACCCTCGTTAAAAATCATACCGCGCGAGTTGAGAACGAGCTCCGTGTCAAACGGTATCATTTCAAGCAGACTTTGACATGAGTTAAACATAAACCGGCAACGAACTTTGGAGGTCTCCCCCAAATCAGCATGCACCTGGAATAAATTTAACCAGATGTTTGTAAAATTGTTGGTGCTTGAAACTGTTGTGGTCCTTCCTCCACAATCGAATCACATGGACGTTTTTCACGATGCTGCAGTTTGCTACCGTCCTGGCAGAGCCTGCTGGCGTCCGCTCATCGCGTGTCTCTCGGCACCGCCCGCGGCCCGCCGGATATTCCGTGGTACCACCACCTCGTGGCGGCCCTTTCAGCCGACCACGGTGGCCTAAGTGCCGCGGGCTACCATGACCGCACGCCACCCCAGGGCGCCGCCCGGGCCGGGCCACAGCGCCGCTCAGGGGTCACCAGCGCCGTGCTGCGGCGCCGTCACCGAACCGCTGGAATGCGGGGCGACGCGGGTGCGTCACGTGACGGCGCGTCCGGCCGCCGACAATGGTGGCGATCAAGCGGCGGCGGCGGCGGCGGTGCTGCGCCGCCGCTCGTTACCGGGGCGACAACGGCCGGGAAGTGGCCGCGCGCTGTCACCGGTATTGACCAGTGCGGGCGTTACGAGCGGTGACGGGTCCGGTTATGGCGCCGTGATGAGGGGGCCTGGTGCTGGCCGCACGCCACCGACGCCGCTCACCCCGGGCCGCGCGGGGAGCGGACAGCTCCCAGGGCGGTGCTGAGGTCCGCCGTCACGAAATGACCGCCGCGCTGCAGACCAGGGACGCGTCCAGCAGGTTGATTGTGGCGGGTAAGCCCCTTAGGCATGGCTTCTGCCTCCTCGAAGTCGAAGAGAGCAGTGCACAAGGATGACCACGGGGAGGGGGACGCAGTCATGACTGAGTGGCAAAACTTGACTCCTAGTGTCCTCACATCTGTCTCCTCTCCAGTCGAATGTCCTCAGACTCAGACACAGACACTCAGATCCAGTCCAATGCCCTCAGACACGTCCCTGCTCCAGACGGCAGCGGCCGCGTACGACAGCGCGCGGCCGCCGCCTGTGGTACGCTCCGGTTCACGCAGCGCAGAGGCCTGAGGTACAGCAGGAGCCGCGCTGCGGCTGGATAGAGCGGAAGGGACCGGACTGTGTGCCCGCTGTCAGACGGGTGCCTCGGAGGGCGGCCGGGTCACGTACCTGCGGAGCTGCGCTCGCCGGCCGGTGCGGCGACCAGCGCGCCGAGGCAGGCCGACAGGGGGGCCAGCTCGGCCAGGCCCGGACAGCCGGCCGCCGCCTGCACCCACCACGGGTCCGCCGTCAGCGGCATCGGCACGCCCATACCTGCCGACGGAGCGGGGCGGGGCACGCGTGAGAGAGCGGGCGGGACACGTATGAGGGAGCGGGCGTGGCATGCGTGAGAGAGCGGGGCAAGGCACGCGTGAGGGCGCGGGGGGGGGGGGAGGCACGCGTGAGAGAGCGGGACATGCTCGTGCGGTGCTCTCGTTTGCACACAAAACTGGCATTGGACTGGACACTGGACGCCAGATACACTTCTAGATGTCAAAGGGTAGCTCGCTATATAGAGGACTGCGCAGTGTGCAATGTACCAGACAGAATAAGACAGTGGTAATAGCCTTATTCCTCGGCGGAAAACCAGCAGAATGGACGGCAACATGCCTTTATCGAAACAATAAGAGAAGTGAATTCAAAATTGCCTGCCGATGGTCCTACTCGAAGTTCATGGTTTTTAACAGAGAACCACAGTTTTTACAGGACACCAACATTCGGGGATTAAACAAAGAGCGATTGCCAGCCGTTACCACGATACAGTGCCTATCTAAGAATTGGAATGCGCGAACATATGTGTACATGCAAACAAATTCAAGAGAATAGACATCACGCATCACGCTTCATTCAAGCATGCTAACGAGTTGGAGTAAACAAGCATAGCACATCGCGCATCAATTATATATGCAAGCGATTTCAGTTGAACAGTCATCGCACATCACGCGTCAGGCATCACTTACACATGAAAACGATTTTAAGCTAGAATACATCACACATACAGGTACGTATCACGTTCGCGTAATCGGCCATGATGAGCCCTGTATGTTAATATTTGATCGCCGACTTTTTATAAGAATAGGTTTACTAATGCACTGAGCAGTTTACCAGACAGATTAATTCCTTGGGTTTTCGTACCGAAGGCAACTCTCGGGGCCTTGCTGGCTGCGAGGAGTGACGCTCTTTCTTAGCGGGTTTTTGGAAGCTTCGTACTATAGAGTAAGTCAGCAAATAAAGTAATTCCCCAAAAGCGGGCCTCAACAGGGACAAAGTGCTCTGTCACAAAGCTATACCGCATTGCCCAGAACGGGCAGGGGAAATGAAATGGGTTCTACAAGCAAGACGTACGTGGGAAATATAAATACTAAGTTGGGGTTGGTAACGTAAATACTTTTATCATTAATTGTCGGTACGATCAAAAGACATGCAGCTATAAGGACTCGTTAATAATCAGGCCTGAATGCTTTTTGATCACACAAAGTAGATGGATCGATCCCACCGCAGTTATCACCTAGCTGCGCCCATGACATTAAGCTGATTTCTGGGCCGACTGTATGATGCTAACCTCTGGCTCTTTTCCACGCTGTCCATCATCGTATGAAGTGCTGCTCATTCCGGCCCATGACCACATTCCAGAATGCGGGCTCATTCAATTTGATGTGCCGATTGTGCGCAGTTGGCGCCCCGGAAACGTCCGCACAAGGCTTTGCGTTACGTTTTCAGCCACTCATTCAATGCTCATTGCCTGCGGCTTCCCCAATACTCGACTGGCACGCGAATAACAGCGTATTGTTAGGTGGGGATGAATATGGATCAGCAGAGAATCAGGGCTATTACTGGCAGCAGCTATTTTCCGACAACAGCTAGAGCCAAGGGTAACGCGCAGGCCGGTGAACAAAGGATTCGGGATCATTTTCGGGTTTTGTCCCCTCGTCCCGCAACGATACTTCACGGTATTGAACTTCAAAGGTAGTTCGATTCAGGATGGAAACAGGGAAATCGGTGAGCTTGTTTGCCACCTGGATCGCTATACCTGGAGGGCAGCAATGACTACGTACGAAGGGACCACACAGGACCAAATGCAGTGGACGCGGTCAACGATTCGAGACAGGTTGACATTTGTGCTGATAACCTGCGCGGCATCACCTGTCAGTGGCGGCAAAGGTCAGGCCAATTATGAGCTGGGGGACAGTTTCACGATTATCGGACCTTACGCTGGCACCGCTGCACTGGTGTCGGCCCCCAACCCTCGCCAGAAGATCGGAGCAGAGCTGTCGTAGGCTGTAGTGGGGACCTCAGCACCAGTGGAAAGGAAATAAAAGCCAGCCGCGGCGACTGTGTGACCGGCCGTCTTGAATCCCGTCGCCTTCGGGAGCACTCACTGCACCTATGTCTGAGCTTCCACCACCCATGAATCGCGGCCAATCGAATAAGACCTTTCCCTGCCTCTGCAGCATCTAGCCAAACCGATCCGCGCCTCCGGCGTGTTGAACCACAACCCCATTAGCTCTCGTTTCCGCGGACTCGGGCAGACAGGCAGCGGCACCAGCGGGGTCTCGCTCGTGCGTTGCCGTGGCGTCTCGGCGTGTGCCGATAGGCCGCCGACCAGTGTCCGATCGACGCACAATGAGGGAGGGGGGAGGGGGCGAGTCCGCGTGTGACCGATAGTCAGCCGGCCGACCGTCGCCGACGCTGACCGCCGCCGGCGACCGAATGACCGCGCGCCGCGCGCAGCCGTAGGTCGTAATTACGACCGCCGCCGCCAACTAGCGCCGATTTACGACGGCACGGCGCGGCCAGAACGCGACCGTCGTGATTAACGCGGCGTGTCATTGAAAACTCGGGCTTAGAACGACTAGCAACGGCGCGCACACGTAACATTCGCCGCGCGTCGGCTCACGGTGGCGTGGAATGCCAGCGAGCCGAAAGGTCATGCCATCCCTATGCCACTAAATCATCAGCTATGGGGGGCGTATCGGCGACGGCCGGCGACTTCGACGCTCACATGTTATAGGCTTGTTTCCTCGGGAATGTGATGGTGACATTTTGCAATTCCAACAAAACTGCCACCCGTGCAAATCAGACGCCTATTTGATTCTCGTAAATGCATTAGCCTGAAATCTCCTAAGCCATCATCATAATCTCCAGAAAACAATTTTCCTGTCACCAGATCCAAAAACCAAGCCACTAACCGTGAGAAAGCCTCCTGGCCCCTTTTACAAATGCATCACACATCGCGTGGGAGCCACATTTCCTAATAAGCAAGTAATTTGCCGAAGTTGTCGCGTAACCACAACCAAAACGTGCGTGGGCGGCACCAGGAACGATTGACTGGTACCAGACCTGCGTGTAGGGCGATAGGCTGCTCAGCATCTGACGACATCACCCTAACACTAAGCCACTGCACTCTCGGCCATCAGACTGTCGCGACGCGATCAACGTTAGGCCAGACCAGACCGCCTCACGGCTGCGGGGGACTGCTGAGGCAGAGCCTGGAGCAGAGTCGGACTGCTGAAACTGAGCCTGGAGCAGAGCTGTACTGCTGAGGCAGAGCCTAGAGTAGAGCTGGACAGCTGAGGCAAAGCCTGGAGCAGAGCCGAGCTGCTGAGGCAGAGCCTGGAGCAGAGCTGGACTGCTGCTCACTCACCGCTGTGGCCTGGAGGCAGCTTCAGCAGGCCAGCTGCCAGCTGCTCCCTCTCCAGCTGCTGGAGTCCCGCCAGATGTGGCAGCATGAGCCGGTGGTGACCCAGCTGGTATGGGAACGGATGGTGTCCTGTGCGCGGGGGGATGACGGCCGCGTCAGTGGGGGATGACGGCCGCGTCAGTGGGGGATGACGGCCGCGTCAGTGGGGGATGACGGCCGCGTCAGTGGGGGATGACGGCCGCGTCGGTAGGGGGATGACGGCCGCGTCAGTAGGGGGATGACAGCCGCGTCAGTAGGGGGGATGACGGCCGCGTCAGTAGGGGGATGACGGCCGCGTCAGTAGGGGGATGACGGCCGCGTCAGTAGGGGGATGACGGCCGCGTCAGTAGCGGGATGACGGCCACGTCAGTGGGGGGTGACGGCCGCGTCAGTGGGGGGTGACGGCCGCGTCAGTAGGGGGATGACGGCCGCGTCAGTGGGGAATGACTGCCGCGTCAGTGGGGGATGACGGCCACGTCAGTGGGGGATGACGGCCGCGTCAGTGGGGGATGACGGCCGCGTCAGTGGGGGATGACGGCCGCGTCAGTAGGGGGATGACGGCCGCGTCAGTAGGGGGATGACGGCCGCGTCAGTAGGGGGATGACGGCCGCGTCAGTAGGGGGATGACGGCCGCGTCAGTAGGGGGGATGACGGCTAGGTGTCAGACCCGGTCACCTATGTCAGCGAGGGGTGGGAAGCACGGCCGCGGTGCCCTCTTGACTGGAGGAACATTGCGGGCATTTAGCGAAAGGCTTTAGTTCTGAAACATGTGTGTCTTCCAGGTTGCGCATAACACGCGTGAGCAGTCTAGATTAGATGGCAGATAACACTACGCTTTCCGGCTAGGAGCTGAACACGGTCTCGCAATGGCAGGTTACCTGAGACCATGGCAGAAGCCGACACATCTGCATAACCATCCTGTCTTCCCTCAACAGGGTCGTGCGAAACGTCCGCGAAACGCTCATTTGGAAACACTTCTGGTGGTTCCCAACATGGTGTGGCTTACGCCTTCGGCCATTTCCCTGTCGGGTTGTGTCTGAGTAACGGTGATGAAGCACATTTATAGCTGAGGCCCACCAAATGCAACCGAAAATGGCAAATACGGGTCAGCAGTGCGGTAAAAGGCAGCTGTCACTCTGCCCTGACTTGTGAGATGGTAAGGGGCCGCATTGCAGTTCGGCAGTCCGTGACCGCGTGTGCTCACTGTTTTTGTTGCGCGGCTCGCGGGGGCCGTCGACGGTGACCTTGATGGCCTTGTTGTAGACGGTCACCCTCGCCGGCCGCGACGAGATGATGATGGTGACCGTGAGAGACTTGCCTGCGAGTAGACCAGCAAGGTCACGGGTCAGCTGATCACCAGTCACACGCATCCATGCCTGCAGTGTCCACCCTGCCTACCCACCCTGGAGCCGCAGGGTGCGTAGGTCAAGGTCAGTGGACGGCTAGACGCTGGCGGGGCATCACGTGATCTGGTGGTCTGGCACCCGGTACAGTCATGCGGTCAGCGTCAAATTGGCAGCAGCGCAGAAGTTACACCTTGACAAGGTCGCGTTAGTAACCTGCCTTCCTTTGATCATAACGCTTCATTTTGCCCCATGCTTCCCCGCGGTTCACTGCCTCCATGCTGCCTCACTTAAAAACGGTATCCGATGCCTTGCACACATGGTGTGGTTTTAGTTTAAGAGGACTAGATAAGCGAGACTTGTTGCGGATGGCTTAAACCGGAGACATAGATGGTAGCGTGGAGCCGCTCTGAGAAGAAGGGGGAAGAACAAAGTGTAGTGATTTTAAACGAAATTCAACACTGGATACAAAAACTGCTATTTCTCGCATTTAATGTTTTCAGCGTGGCAAAATACGATCCATACAACTCTTTGGCCACACCACCGCTTGACAATCCATAAAAAGTACAACCCTGGCTTCCACGAATCAAATCGCGCGAATACCGTTCATAGCAATTATGCTGCAGCATTTCATCATATTTCCGTCTCAATAGCATGCACACCATGACTTTGAAAACAAAATGAACCGATTTTGACTGATATTTTTACATCATTTTGTGCGTGCCAATTTTTATACAATATCCCATCGTCGCGAAAACGCCCATGACATCAAAATTGCCTTGATTTTTTTTTAATTCGACGGATCTCGCCAGAGTTCACATCGCTAGATCTTACAAACTGAATTAGGAAAACCGTAATGACTCTTGCCTGGATAGTAACGCCCAAGCGCCACCCCAAAAGACGACCCACATCTGGCAATGGTCGACAGCTAGCCTCGGCAGAGTGCAGGGCGATGCAGCAGGTCCAGCCACGGCGTCACCCGGCTATCGACAGCGCCATCTGGCTGCAGCCTGCTGGCCTCCATTTGGCCATAGTCGGCCCCGCCGCTGATAGATCGGTGACCGTCTAACTGCCCATATGCCAGGAACATTTGCAGCGCTTCCTGCCTCGTAATTGCGGTAAAAGCGAGCGCCATCGAGCCCGGTAATTTGGCTCGCGTGGTCAGACAACACTACCGGCGGTGGCGGCCGGCGCGGGTCAAAAGCAACAAACGCCGGTGGCGTGCCCACTTCCCAGCATTCTTTTGACTCGAACTAGTCACCATTGTGCCGTTCCCCGCTCGGTTAAAGCGGGCCAAAGTTACTCGTTTCAACATCATTAGGCGCGCGTTTTCCCCTCGATGGCTGCCACAATCAATCAGCCCAGCCGAAGCCCTCCTCCCCCTCCCCCTCCCCAGCAAAAACGGCCCCCAGCCCCGAACTGCGCGACGTTTTAACGGCCGGTCAAGCCGACAGCCACGATCTGATATTAACTGCTGGTACGACTGACTCGGGTGCCCATAAATGACACGACGGAGCGCTGGGTGGCGTCCGGCGACAGCGATGATCGGCCGGGCTGCGAAGCATTAACTCATAATGATGGCAAACAGCATTACTTCATGGAAACGCGACGACGCCTACGTTGACAGATCCAGCCATCGGTCTGAGTGAGAACACAAAAGGCAGACTGATGATGTTCAAATATGTGCGAACCTCGTAATCATGGCGGCATGCACCTGATACAGGGGGACCAACAAATGACATTATTACGGAAATCTTTATAAAAAGCAAAACCGAGTGGCAGGCTATATATCTATATAGTATATGCATATGGCTTGCAGCAAGTGGTTGTCATGCAGTAATTAGAACAGACATCTGCGACCAAAAATGGTATTTCAGTATAATTTTTCATCGGAGATCCGTCTCAGTGGTTGTTGGTATTGAAATTAATAATGAATCCAAGAAAAATGCCTCCGTTGTGCATCTACAATAATGCTGCCTGGCAACGATAATATAAAAACTAAGCCGGGTACTGGTACGCTTAAAGTTGCGTATAAACGTAACGGCGTACCTTCGAGACAGCACAGATGCAGCGCCAAAAGAACGTGCCCACTTTATCGCGACCTCGCAGACAGAAACGCGCAGGTACACCGGCCGCGAAAGCCCATAGACGGAGACGTGGGGAAGAGCAGACAGACGGCCGACGACAGGCCAAATACAGCGGAGGATGACGGAGGACAGGCTGATGCACAGACCAGGGCAGGACGGGCGGGCGCGCAGACAGGACGGACAGCCGCAGATCCGGCGAGCAGACCAGGGCGGGGCGGACCGGGGCGGGGCGGACCGCGGGGCGGGCCGGCGGGGCGGACCGGCGGGGCAGACCGGCCGGGCGGATTGGCGGGGCGGACCGGCCGGGCGGACCGGCGAGGGGGACCGGCGGGGTGGACCAGGCGGGCGGACGGGGCGGGGCGGACCGGCGGGGGCGGACCGGCGGACCGGCGGGGCGGACCGGCGGGGCGGACCGGCGGGGCGGACCGGCCGGGCGGATTGGCGGGGCGGATTAGCGGGGAGGACCGGCGGGGCGGACCGGCGGGGCGGACCGGCGGGGCGGACCGGCGCGTCAGACCGGGGACAGCCGCTTCGCCGGACGTTGCGGGCCGCTAGCTCACCTCGGCCGCTGCGGCCGACGAAGCGCAGGTCACTGAATCGCGCCTCCCGGTCGGTCATGACGGCGGCGTTATTGCGCAGTTCGGCGCAGCAGTTGTCGTCGTTGCCGGCCAGCACGGTGACGACGGTGCCGTCCTCGACCGGCGCCAGCGAGACGACGCGGAAGGCGGCCGGCATGGTCTTGTTGGCGCGCCAGTGCGGCGGCAGCGGCGTGCAGAGCAGGTCCGGAGAGCCGGTGGCCACCAGCCGGCCGGCCGGCTCGTCGGCAGATCCGGCGCCGCTCGGCCAGCCGCCCGGCCGGCTCGAGGGCAGTAGCATGCCGGCGGCCGGGCTCATGTGGCAGGCGGCCGCGTCTGAGGCCCGGCGCCCGGCGCGGGCGGCCGCGGCTCGGGCACGCCTCCTGTCGAGGCGCCCGCCTCTGGCGCGGCGAACCGGCAAGGCTCGTGGAGGCGACTCGCCCCGCGTGACGTGGCTTTGCTGCCGATGTTTTGAGGAACGTGGTGGACGTTACACTGACCGGAGCCGCTGACGGGCTTTTCCACGCTCGTAGTACAGGGACGCCTTCCGGGGCAGCTCACAAGACACAGGCTCACGGTCGGGCGGTACCCCCCGCTCCGCCAACGACGGTCGCCGTCACACTGGCCAACCGAGGAGCGGTGTTGAGAAGGGGCGGCCGGCAGGGGCGCAGCCAGCGTCCCGCTCTAGGGGGGCCGATCGGCGCACGTGCCCGGCTCCTCCTGGTGAGTCTATGCAGGAGCGGCACGCTGTTCTGCCAAGACGCAGAGCCAATGCTATATTGGCAATGGGTCGGTCGCTCGTGCCGGTGCGCCTGGGGCCTCGCCTGTCCCGAGTGACACCTGACGCGCGGCTGCCCGCAGACGACGCTGACAGCCAATCACCGCCGCCGGCTCGGCCGGGGGGCGGTCTCCGGCGCGTGCCGGTCACGTGACTCGGCTGCGGCTGGCTGGCAGAGGAAGCTGCGGTGGCGCGGACGCCGCCGGCGTCTCATTGGCTGCCCGCCGCCGGCCAGCCGTGGCAGGCGTGGGTAGGGATGACGCGGCGGGGCCAGGGCGGGTCCAGGCGGAGGGGGACCATTTCACGCACTGGAGTAGTCTGCCGATGGTGGATGGGTGCGCGGGGCGGACTGGACCCGATCAGAAAATTTTGGGCAACGCACGGATCAGAACCGGACCGGATTTCAGAACAGGCGACGCGTTCAGGCCGCGTAAATTGAAAGGGTTTCAAAATCAGTTTCATTTGAAAAGGCTTTGTATAAATTAACCATACGCACTGCAGCAATCCTACGAAAGAAGCGTCAACCCTACGACACTTCTTATTTCGATTATGGGTAAAGAAAGGTATCCTGGAGTATTGAGGTAAACACATCACTGAGAAGATTACTTCCCTCCCCCTCCCCAAATGGCTACTAGGGGCAATGACAGCAGCTTGAGAGGCGGATACCCACCACAACGTCATAATGCATTAAGGCCAACCTGCCATTTAAACAGGTTGCATAGCAAGCCACGGCTGGTTACTGGCAGTGCACATCAAGCACATGGTGAAGACATCAAATATGATCACACTACTGTCGATATGAATAATGACATCAGGGTATCATTGCATTGTTAACATTCGTGATGAGCACTTGTGTCTAATTTGTGTCTGCTTTGTATTTTATTTGCTCGACAACCATCCACGAGGTGGTTTTTCAGGTTCCGACTCATGTAACGTTTACCAGCTTCGGGTCGTCCCATCATTCACCGATTACAACACATTACAAAAAGAGGATACTATAAAGGGCAATGCTACGAAGCATGCCATAAAATACCATGCTACGAACTAGGCTGTAAAATGAAATGATAACATATGATCCAACACGGCACGATTCCGTTCCATATCGAACTTTGTGTAGTATTTACCTTACTTGTCTTTATTTGGATTTACGAGGCACTCAGCTGTTGAGACTACATGGCGTCGCCTGCCTCTCACCCTGGCAGGGAGAGTGGGCACCGGGAGGAATTGAACCACTTTCCCCTGGTTTTCCAGACATGCACAGAGCATTTAGCTATTGCAAAAAGGCTTTAGAGATCTGCATCCACTTCAGTAGGATAGTAGGGCCAGTTGTATCAGTTTACCATTCTGAGTATGGTATGAGGCTTCCTCACACCATACTCGCTGTGGACAGGACTAATATACTTCCATCTGCAGACAGCTACAACCATGACGTACATGTGCAGTGGTAAACGTCTGGAGAGCACATCCTCGTTTTTTCAGGGAGGGGGTTAAATGGCTTCTGAATAAACCCCTGTCAAAGGATGTACCCTGCCCCACCCTGGGGGAAATTGCATCACATTGTGGGGAAGCTGCATGAATTGCTTTGCGTAAAGAATGCTGCACAGAAAGTAAGCTGAATGCGTTCCGATTTGTAAACAAAAAACGTTCGTCTCCGCTAATTTGTGATTCGTCGTGGTTACGGCCTGACAAACATATGCTCGTTCTAATCATCCAGTGTTTATTTTACAACCACTGCTAACTCGGTATCGGTTCATTGGGTACCAGTTATGGATTCACACAGGCACTGTATATGCTGGCTCGTCTGAATGACGATGAGTCATGTAACTCAAGTCACTTAATCATTGACAGTATATCAGTTAATGGTATCATTGACGGCACATTATATTACCGACACAACACGCCCCACGCACAACTGATACATGCACCACCCGACATCTTGGAAGAAATTTCGCGCCACCCTCGAAATCAATGGCAACCAGAGCCACATGTGTTGTGGCTATGCGGTACGAGCGCTTCCCAAACTCAGCATGGCATTCAGGTTAGTCTAAATGCGTCGTAAGACCTTAAACACACACTCCCACCGATCGCTAGTTTCCAGCGATGTGCAAAAAACATTTGTGAAGTGCACCACAAGACGTGTGCACTAATGCGGCCGGACGTGTACTGAAAGATGGATGCCGATGATGTGCGTCAGAAGATGAGTGTTAAAACATCCAGCGCTCATTACGGCCTGTGGTCAAAGCGTCCACAATCGCAGCATCCAGCGTCCACAACATCCAGAAATCGTGCAATACCCCTGGACAGAGGAGAATCAGAACATGCAGGCGCGCAGCATCCAAGTTCATAACACCCAGCGTTCACGAAGTCCAGCGTGCGTGAGCTCCAGGGCATGGAATGCTGTACCACTTCCTCGTAGCCTTTAACCTACTGACTTGGATAATTTCCCGCTAGAGGGCTACCGCTAGAGAGCTACCGTGGCCCAATTCGCCCGTCCATGCCGACGAGTAACATGGGGTATAGTGCTGCCCAGTTTTGTGCATGTGTGCATGGGCATGGACAAACAATGTGCATGGACATGGACAACGGTTTGTTTATCCATGGTGTGCGATAATATAAACGCAAACTTAACCGCGTCAGCACACCCTTGGCAGCAGGTGTATTGAATAGTTCAAAACTTTTATCCCTGGCTCGTGGCATCGAAGGTAGCTGGTTGCTCGGCAGTAGATGTATGGTGGTCATGGAAGACACTTGTCGGGTACCTGTTACTTGGTATGGCGGGTTGTGGATAGAATTCCCAACATATTTGGCTGTGTTATATACTGTTTGTGTTGACGATGTCTCATAACTCATCTTTTTAAAGTGATTTATGACTGATGTGTAGGACTCACCGAATTGATGGCTGCTCTAGGTCGACGCGCATGTCAGTCTCCAGCTCCTGGCACTCTAACCTGTATTGTCAGTGGTTTTATTTGGTTATTACTAGGTCCCTCCCATTGAAAATTATTTCACACGTTCCTGCAAACAGGACTTATTCCGAGTTTTACTTGTGTTTGCTGTCAAAGGGTGAGGGGGCTGTCTTATCAGCTGAATCCGAAAACTACTCCCCTGGTACGACGCGCTCAATGGCTCAGCTTAAGAACAATTCGTTTCTTCAATTAGATGCGTTCAAAACGGGAGTGTAGTTTTTCAACAAAGGTTGGTTGGCTGAACGATAAGGAAACAACGTAAAGCACCCTGGTAATACGCCAACAAACGGGGTTATCTCCTAATTTGGCTTACTTTTTCTCAAATCAGCAGGCTGCAGCCTTCAAGAAGATATGGTGGTCCAACGGGGCGGTGGCTTCTGTAGGGCGTATCCGTCTGGCACACCTGTACGAGAACTTACCCATGAAAACGTTGCTGACTTTGCTTCTTCCTTCATCAGAGACACTGGACGTTGCGAAATCCTTTCCGCTAGACTACAAGTGCAGTGTGCTCACTGGCGTCACAAACCAGTTTCATAGCCTATAGTTCGCCTTAGCAAACCCACACGAGACTTTCTCCATCTGGAAGCATCAGCTGGGATTATATCGTGATGTGGAGAAAATTGGGTTCCGTTTGATCTCTTCCGGCTGCCTCGTGCCTCCAGGATGACGGCCGGCAGGTGGACGGTCACGGAGTAGCGGAATTGGCTGCTTTACTACAGGATGTCACTTCTCAGTGGAAAGCTTCCGGTGTGCCATCACACCCACTGGAATCTGCTGGTGCTAGCAATTTTCAAACTGCTCTCGGACAAAGTTTTTGGGGAGAATACTTGTGTTCCCGAGAGACAACTGCACGAGTTTGTGTCGCGTATGGAGTGGCTGTAGGATTGCAACACGTGTCGCACAATTTGCACGCGCTCCTGTACCTGGCGGACACTGCGTGGCAGTGTGGTCCGCTCCGGACGTGCTTCATGTTCCCATTCGAAGGGTACAGCGGAACGCTGTTCAAGTTCTGTACGGGACCAACCTACGTCATCGAGCAGATCATCGACAAGTTCTTCATTTTGCAGATGCTAGAGACAGTTAGAGACGCCCGTGCACGCAATGGCGGTGTGGATTAGCGGATGGGGCAGCTTGTCTCCAAATGGCTAGGGGGCTAAGGACCTACTGTCAAGGCAGCTCGTTCCGTGGAGGGAGTCATTGGTCTGAATGCACCGCGTGTTCGAGACTTGACGGCCGATGAAGCTCAGCTCCTTTCGCTCTCTAAACATTGCGTTCAGAGTGGCAGCCTCGAAGGTCGCTTTTTGGTCGTGTGATCCTCAAAGGGCGGATTGGCTACAGAGCTAGATACAGCAAGGGTAGACGAAGCAGCTTCGTCGTCCTGACAAGTCACGGAGAATGCATCCTTCAGACGGTGGCGTTTCTGACAGTTGGGGTGTCCGTCAAATGCCCCGCGTTCTGCTCGCGATGTGAGAACAAACGTGCATCTCTACCAGCAAACCA